CTTTATTACGAAATCTGGAGTACCCTGACACGTCGATTAAGGAATTGGCCGTTTTCGGTTCGCGAGAGGGCGTCGCGGCCGACATTTTTGCGGGTCCAGGTCCGTCGGTTTCGGTCCCAGGCCGTTTTCACTAAGGGGAGTTCTACTAAAGGGAGGTCTGTCCACCGCCGACAGACGTGGGGCACGGCTCGCCCGCCTGCTGGAGGCACGGCGCTCCAGGCCTGGGGGGCCGCGCCGCTCCCGTCAAGGCAGGAAAAAGCACCCAGACCGGACAACTGGCGTTTCCTAAACGGCCTTGGGCGTTGACTAAACAGCCCTGTCCTGTTTGATTCCTCCTTTGGGCGCGTGTGCTAAACGTCTTTGCGTGCCGGGGTGGTCATTATCGGGGTGGATTGTCTGTCCTCTACCCCAGGAGATGGCAACATTTGGGGGCCCAGGGTTCCAGAAGCGGTCAGACGTAGGACACGGCTCGCTTGCTTGCTTCGAAAGAAGAAGAAGAATAACGTCACAAACATAAGCTCTTGGCGCTCCGCGCGGAGCGCCAAAAGTTTGTGTCTACGGCGTCTTGTTATCATTCTAATGTGGGGCGCGGCTTGCTTGCTTGCTGGAGGCATTGCGCTCCATGCTTGGGGGCCCCGCGCCGGTCTCCTCAGGGTCACTCGCGAGGAGTTCGCTCGCCGAGGTCGGGAGCCTCGCCTCGCGAGGAAGGATGAGGCAGGGCGATCGAAAAACAAAACTAGGCATTGGTATGCAGACCTTGCCCTCGCTCGCCCCACCAGTACCTGTCGAGTACTGAAGCCAAGGACGATGAAAAACACATCTCCATCACATCGTCCTCATCACCACCACCACCACATAGGAGACTTAATGTTCGGCGGTCCCCGCGGATTTCTTGGATCTGCGCTGGAGCCCCCTGTCGGCGTCTCCGTCACCGCCACTGGCGCGCTCCGCGCGCCAGGGAGGGAGGGTCCAGCGTAGATCCAGGAAATTTGCGCGGACCGTCGAACGTTTATGTTTTGCCGGTTGTTGTTCGCTTAGAGGAGGGTGGCGAAGGGATGGAGGAGGAGGAGGAGGAGGAGGAGGCGGAAGAACGCTACAGCTGCACAGCTTGAGTCCTGTCAACGTAAAAAAGGAGGAGGAAGAAGAAGAACGCTACAGCTGCACAGCTTAAGTCCGATCAACGTAAAAAAGGAGGAGGAGGAGGAGGAAGTCCGTAGCCATTTTGGCTCAAGTGTCCTTGCCGGAGGCTCCAAGACCAGGGGGCCCCTGTGCGGCACAGGAGGCAGCTTTTCACCCCGTGGCGGTGACGGGCGTGACCAGGGGCACGATTCGCGCCGGCGCCGTGTGGGAATACATCAGGATGGCTCATTCGGAACGATCGAAAGTGGTACGGAATGAACGGGCACACAGACCGACAGCAGTTCTTGTTCATTTTGAACAGGACTCGCTTTTGGTGTCGCCGCGGCCTGTGTCCTTTTGAGACAGAAGGCCGCCTGCCCAACAGCGGCCGCTGCTGGTTTGGGACAACATTTGTTGTTGGGCGTTATGCTTTCTTTTTCCGTACCCATTCCGGGCGTCCAAACTCGTTACCAGACGGCGCCGGCACGAATCGTGACGTGATCAGCCGGTGGGGGGCGGGGGGGGCGTGGCCAGTCGCGGGCGTTACCACGAAACAGAGGAACATTGGCTCGTGAAGAAGGGCCGCAGATGGAGGAGGAGGAGGAGGAGGAGGAGGAGGAGGAGGAGGAGGAGGAGGAGGATGGGAGGTCCGTAGCCATTTTGGCTCACATCCTTGTTCGTTATGAGAGTTCAGGGACCAGGGAGCTTCCGTGTGGCACAGAAGTTGGGCGGTCTCAACTGCTCCAGGCTGCATCACCAGCAGCGTGACGCCCACGAGGTGCGCCGCGAGAGCCAGTGCGCCTCCATCTTCCCTATCAAATGACAATGCACAATGATGAGGGGGTCGCCCGCGCATGATCAACAGTTAGCCGAAAAGTGTATTTCTTGTTTGTTTTTTATGGGGGCGATGGGCTTGCGCAGCATGCATAGCCCCCCTGCGTCTGGCGCAAAATCGAACGACCTGGAATGTGACACTTTGCGCTAGAGTATGGGAGCGCCTCCCCCCCGCCGGCGGGGGGGGGGGCGCTCGCTTATTCCAACTCGAATCGCCTGGCGCTGCTGGTTCCCGTCTAGTGGACCTGCTTGTGGCGTGTGTCTTGCTTCGCGTTGTGCTGTTGGTTCCCGCTGTGCTGGTCACAGTGAATTGTCTTGTGGCACTGGTGCTGGTGTGCGCACTGCTGCTGGATCCTTTCGTGCTCGTCACAGTGGTGCTGCTTGTTGCGATTGCGCTGCTACGCGTAGCGCTGTTGGTTCCTGTCGTGCTGGCCACACTGGCACTGCTTGTGGCGCTTGTGCTGCTTCGCGTGGCGCTGCTGCTTCCGGTGGTGTCCGTCACAGCGGTAGTGCTGGTGGCGCTGGTGCTTGTGTGCTTAGTGCCGCTGTTTGCCGTCGGGCTCGTCACAGTGGTCCTGGTGGTGGCGTTGATAGTGTTTAACGTGGTGCTGTTGCTCCCAAGTACTGGTGCGCGTGGTTGTGTTACTTGCTGTTGTGCTGATCGAAAAGGTACCAATGGCGTCGCTTTTGCTGTTCGCGCTTCTGCTGGTGGTGGCACTGATGATGTTGTAGTGTTCGTTGCGGTGGTGCAGCTCGCTGCGCTAGACTTGGTGCGCGTGGTGTTACTGGTTACTATTGTGCTGGTCAAAATGGCACTGCCTATCGTGCTGATGCTGCTGCGCATGGTGCTACTGCTTCCAGCAGTCCTCGGCGCAGTGGTACTGCTGGTGGCTCTAGCGTTGCTGCTCGGAGTGGTGCCAACACTTGTCCTGCTACTCCCAGGTGTGCTGCTGGTGGCGATGGTGCTGCCGCTGCCGGTGGTGATGCTGCTTCCTATCGAGCTGGTCACAGTGGATCTGCTCGTTTCGCTCGTGCTGCCGTTGCACGGCCGACGCGTTGCGGGTCGTCCTGAGCAATCCCGCCAGGGCGCTGGAGCTGCAGTGCGAGGGGTGAGCAGCCGGCGCCTGTGGGACAGGATGTGGGTTCTGCCATGGGGCGTCCTTGGTGTCCAGCGCAAGGTCGGCCAATCTGAGCAGCGACGCTTCGCGCTGGAGTACGGGAGCGTCTCCCCCCGTGAGGGTGGCCGGAGGACTGGAGTGGGGGCCCTCTCGCATTCCAGCGCGAAACGTTTGGCGCTGTTGGTGTCCGTCGTGATTTGTTGGTGGTGTTTGTGCTGCTGCGCGTGGTGTTGCTGCTTCCCATCGTACTGGTTACAATGGTGCTGGTATTGCTGGTGCTGGTGCGTGTCGGGTTGCTGGATACTGTCGTGATCGTCGCGCTGTTGTTGTTGTCTGCGCTTGTGTTGGTACGAGACGTGTTTCTGCTTCTCGCCGTGCTCGTCACACTGGTTTGATGATGGCGCTTGGGAGGTTTCGCGTGACGTTGCTGCTTCTCGTCGTGTTCGTCACGATGCTACTGGTGGCTCCTGTGTTGCTGCTTTTGGTGCTGCTGCTTAACTGCCGTTGTGGTTGCAGCGGTCCTGCTGGTGGCGTCGATACTGCTTCGCGTGGTGTTGTTGCTTGCCGCCGTGGTCGGCATAGTGGTGGTGTTGGTGTCGCTAGTACTGGTGCGCGTGGTGATGTTGTCGTGCTGGTCAAAGAGGCACTGCTGGTGTTGCTTGTGCTGTTCGCAACAATCCAAATGAAATCACAAGGCTTCCCGCCCCCTTGCTTCGCAAACCATATGTTTTCATTTGGATTGCTGGGGGTGGAGGAGGGGGGAGGAGGAAGAGGAGGAGGAGGAGGAGGAGCACGAGGAGCTACTACTGCTGCTGGTGTTGGTGCTGCTACTGCGCGTGGTGAGGCTGCTTCTGGTCGTGCTCGTCTCGGTGGGGCTGGTGCTTGCACTATCACTGGAGGCTGTGCGCGTGTGCAGTGGGATGCCTCGCACCTCGCCCGCGATCGCGACGGATACTCCCGCTTCACCACTGGCTGCATTCACTATTACGACCGTCTTTTTTGCCTCAGCACAGGCCACATCCATGACTGAGAATTTTGATATCACCTCGGCGCCGACCACACCCATGATCGCGAATTTTGATGTGGCCGCAGCGCCGGCCACATCAAGGACTGCGAACGTTGCTCTCGCCTCAGCGCTGGCCGCATCCATGATTGCGAACGTCCGTGCCGCCCCAGCGCCAGCCACATCCGTGACTACGACGGGTGCTCTCGCCTCCGCGCTGGCCACTATGATCACGAGTGTTGCCCACGCCTCAGCGCCGGCCACACTCCAGCTTACGGGTGCCTCCCCGAAGGCTATACGCCACGGGTTGCCTGATGTCTATTCCAGGGACGCGCTGGTCCTGCCACGCAGCACATTTGGCCTCCGACTGTGCCACCGTGCCACCACCCGTCGATCGGATGGCCAGCCCGGCCAGGGTTCGTGCCAGACGGAGTCGTCTGGCACATGAGTACAGTCAAAACCTCGGAATAAGGACAGCCTTGGGCTCAGGAGAAGCTCTGGCCTTCGGGCCGTTTCTTGGATTTAGATCGGGGAACCTATTCGTGACCGAGGCTCGCCGTGGCCACACAGGTTCTTCCGTTCCTGGTTTGGTGACCTTCTGGGCTTCTGGATATAGCACGGTGGCTGTGTATACATATATATATAGACATAGATAGATTACACGAGGAAGCGGCAGCGATGAATGGTTTCGTGACCCGTGGGGAATGGAGGACGAGGAGGAGGGAGGAGGAACATGCCGCGACGGAGGAGGAGGAGGAGTAGGAGGAGGAGGAGGAGGAGTAGGAGGAGAAGGAGGAGGGAGGGCAAGAAGAAGAAGAGGAGGAAGAGGAGGAAGAGGAGGAGGAAGGAGGAGGAGCAGGAGGAGGAGGAGGAGGAGGGGGAGGAGGAGGAGCCCACTGCTGCCGCTGGCGCGCCCGCCCGAACCCACTGGCAGGCATGCCGTCCAAGCGCCGCAACAACGGCCGCTCGAAGCACGGCCACGGCCACTCCGCCATCGTCCGCTGCTGCAACTGCGGCCGCTGCGTGCCGAAGGAGACCTGCGGCGCACAGGGCGGGGCGCAGCACGGTCGGGCCGAACGAAAGGGGGGATAGGGGATAGGTAAAGGGGGGGTCACGAAACCTGCTGCACGCAGCTGGCTTCGGCCCCGCCGTCGGGCCCATTCCTTCGGCCTCACAGCGCCGGGAGACGCTGGTAAAATCAGCCACGTGAGCTGATTCTCTTACCCTACGCTTTGCTATCCCCCCCTTGCGTTCCCTCCGACCCGGGCAGGCTCGCGATCCGCGCCGACGCGGTGGCGATCCCAGCTCGGACGTCTCCGGTCGAAGAAGCGCGGGCATGGATTTTTAGTCGGCCCGCACGTCACCACCCACCAAACACATGTGGAACCCGTACAGTCAGCCCGCACAGTAAGGATGGGCAGCCCTCCCAAGGTTACCCTTGCATCCTTGCCTCCTCTGTCCATCCTTCGCCCGCTTTCGCTGGCCGCGCCCCGGTTTGAAAAACTTCGAGATGGGCGTCCGAGGCCCTCGCATCCCTACCGCGCATCCTCGCTACACTGGTTGACTGCACCCCCCGCCCCACCCGAAGTGCGGGCAGTCGGGTTGGGTCGGGGTGGCCTGGTGGGCTCGCGCCGCGCCGACGCGGTGGCGATCCCAGCTCGGACGCTCGGGTCTCGAGTCGGGCGCAGCCATCTACAGAAGGAGGATTTTGAATGCTCCCTCCGAAATCTCCCTGTAGGAGGACATGCCCAAGCTCATTCCAGTCGAGGAAGCGCAGGCACGGATCACAGTCGACACGAACGGTAAGGACGGGCAGCTCTCCCCAAGGGTGTCCCTCGCAGCCTTCCCGCCTCGGTCCACCCTTGGCCACTCTCGTCGGCCGCGCCCCGCTCGAACAAGCTTCGAGACGACCTTCCGAGGCCCTTGCAGCCGTACACCGCAGGCGATGCTTAAGAAAACTTAAGTTTTCGGCCAGAGTCTCGATTATTCTTAATGTTTGAATGTAAGTCTTAAGATGTTATAGAAATGTGGGGTTTTTACTCAACTTCTGAGACTGTGGATTTCTTAACCCATGATTTCTTAAGCATTTCGCAGGGTGTACCGTGCGTCCTCATGATGCGGGCTGAGCGTAAGGCAGCGTGGATTGGCGACGGGCCCCGTTGCCACCTGGCGTCGGCGCGCTCCGTCGCCACTCGGGCGGCCCTCGCGCCGTTTCTCGGGGCTGCATTCCCCGATGCGTGGACGAAGGATTGCAAAAAACCGAAGGATTGCAAAAAACCGAAGGATTGCAAAAAACCGAAGGTTTTTTGCAATCCTGCGTTTTTTGCAATCGACCGCGCACATTGGATCCACGCATCCCCAGTCCATGTTGGCGTGCGCCCGATCGAAGAGGAACGCCGCCAGTGGCCCCGAAGCGGCCGATGCGGACGAAGCTCGCGGTGGGCCATCGCCGAGGTCATCGCGGCACGAGGTTGCCGCAAACGTGCAATCCCCAGTCATCGGCGTGAGGGTCTGCGGTGTGCAAGGGTGGGCGGAGCGAGGGTTGGCTGCTCCCTGAGAAGGCGGTGGCGGGGGGGCCTCAGACAAAGTGGTGGAGGTTTCGAAGAAGGTTTAGTAGAATGCCAGAGTGTTCCTGATAAGCCGCCCGCTTTTTCAAATGCCTCCCCCTCGCACTGCCTCCCCCTCCACTGCCAAGGCGGGTAGATATGTAGTTTCATCATGTCGGATGGTCGTCGCCATGTCACAGGCGAGTGTTGTTTTATGTAGCTTCTTTGATGTAATTGTCGTACCGTGTTTTCGACTCATGTTGCATGATTAAGCAGTGTGAACCGAGCCCTCGGGTGCATGTAACTCGATATCCAGGCGCAGAGCTTGCAACTGCCAGCTGCTAGTATGATGTGAGCACGCATCTTCACATGTGTATTACATGTAAACAAATACGCCCTCCCCTGGGAGCTTTCCCCACCTCCGGAACATCGGGGGGCCAATGCCTGGTACCGCCCCCGGGCCTCCCAGGGAGGCCCCAAAACGCCCCAGGACTGCCCAAGACGCCCCCAAGGAGCCCCAAGAACGCGAAAGGACGGCCCAAGACGTTCCCAAGCAGCCCGAGACAGACTTCCGACGGCCTTGCAGGCTCCCAAGAGGCCTCCAAGAGGCCCCAAGAGAGCTCTGAGAGGCGTCCCAGGAGCGCCCGAAGTTGTCGCGTTTTCGAGCTTCCAACGCTCCAAGACGGCCGAAAAGGCTCCCAAGAGCGCCCCGAGGCAGCCAAAGAGAGCCCCAAGATGGCCCGAAAAGCCGCCCAACTGGGGGAACGCAAATCGACAAGCACGGCTTTCCGCTCCAAGTGGCCCCCAGGTGGCCCCAAGAGTCCCCCACAGAGCCTGAAGAGCCCCGAAGAGGGCCCAAAGCGGCCCCAAGAGGCCCCAAAACAGCCCCCAGCGGCATCCAATCTGCCTCCCAAGAGCCCCCTGCACGCCACTTGGCCCCCCCTCCCGATTCCTGCGCACTACTTGTTTGGAGGCCCCATTCGACAAGGGGGGAATCCAATGATTCTCTTTTGTTCAAATTCATCCCGAGCCCCATCAACACTTGGGGTCACATTGCACAGATTTTTCGGAAAGCTGTTGGACTCTCTGACGCTGCCTTGGCACTCTCTTGGGTCCTCTTAGTCTTCGTGTCCTTTTGGCTGCCCCTGAAACAACAGTAAACATCGAGATCCCATGAGTTCACCTGTCCAGCCTAGCTAGAACGTCAGCGCGCGCGCACCAAGAAAGAGACGAAAGAGGGGACCTCCGAAAGCCTTACGAGCTCTTTGCCCTAAGGTGGCCCCACGTTTCTCGCAGAGGCTCTCGAGGCGCCCCGCAAATGCCTTCAGAGATTCCAAGGATGCTCCCGGGAGGCACCACGAGCTTTCCAAGAGGCTTCAAAAGACTCCCCAAAAACGCCGCCAAAAGGCCCCCAGAGGCGTCCCAGTAGTCCGTGGCCTGTATCCAGGGAACTTATGGCCCACGGTCCAGGCATGACAACTTGAAGCTAAGAGAATTCCAGGAATTTCCCTTTTTCAAACCTACCCCTGCTCATTTATTCACAGCAGACCATAATCAATGACCCCGCCACCACCGACGAACGATTCTAGGAAACCTTCGAGGGCCCCAGAGCATCGATCACCGAAAGGAAATGTATGAGTTTGTGGTTTCCGCATTTCCCCTCGTATAACGCTTCCGAGGCCCGCGCAGGGATTCCAAGAAGGTCGTTACATGCACAAGGCACTTCAACAATTGAGATTATGTTAGGCCCGTCGAGCCCACCTAGAATTTGAACGCGCGCGAAGCGCGCTTTGGTTATCGTATGTTTGTATATGTATGTGTGTTTTCGTTGCGTAAATGTGTATAACTATGTATGTACATGAATCGTGCTTTATATTCCGAACCTCGACACGGTAAGCAAGCCATGTTTCTTGGACGCCCTCCACGGACAAAAAAAGAACAGCATTATTTCCAGCTCCATTACATGTTTCCCTGATCCTGTATATGTTTCTTTTTCTGTTGTTCTTATCTGCGTTCCACTAACAAACAGAGGTCACATGACAAACAAACGAAGACAACTGCACCAACTACAGGCAGTACCTGCAGGCCGTTAACCTCCACGGCACCCTCTCACTTCGCCTTCCTGTCCGTCTCGGAGGCGCTCCCGCTGCTCCTGCTGGCGTTTGCTGTTCCACGTGGAGACCCACCGGTTCCAGGACCTGCGCGTTCAGCAGTGTTACCTGGGGAACTTGGATGGGCCGTCTCTACCATTCTATCCCTGTCACCGCCTTCCTGGGTAAGCGTGGCGCCCGTGGACTTCTACTCCTTGGTCGTGAATGGGGTCGCACTCTTCCACTGCACCTGCGTCCCGTTCGACACCTCCATGGACGTGATCCCGGTGCCGCTTTGTGACGCCGCCCGCGGGCTGCGCTGAGCTCCGCCCCGATTTGTGCATGGCGTTGCCCGGCTCTTTATTTGTCCCTCAGCTCGAGGCGCGGCCTGCCCCTGCGTGCCCGGCGTTCGGCGCGACCTCGCGCGCCCGCGTACCAAAAAACCATCCCATCGCTACACGATCGGAGGTTTTCTCGAGGCATCTGGGAGGCTATATTGAGTCAGGCTCGGTCAGAGGTTGTCGGCGGCTATCCTGATCCATGGTCAGCTATCTTGGGCAATCTTGGGGATGTCATGTGGCCTCTGGGAGGTGCGTCGGGGGCGGAATTACGCATTTTTCGACCTCTTGGGACCATCTTCGGGGTAGGAGGAAGAGGAGGAGGAGGAGGAGGAGGAGGAGGAGGAGGAGGAGGAAGAGGAGGAGGAGGAGGAGGAGGAGGAGGAGGAGGAGGAGGGGGAGGGGGATGGGGGGGGAGGAGGAGGAGGAGAAGGAGGAGGAGGAGGAGGAGGAGGAGGAGGAGGAGGAGGAGGAGGACTGGTGCGAACCCAAGATTCGCCAACGGTGTTGAAATAAACCCTCCCACCGTGATCCCTCTTCACGCAACTGCAAGGGGCCATCTTCGCAAAAGAGAGGCCCCGCTGGGGTGCAACAGTGGCAGATTTTGAAGCGTACCAGGAACCAATCCTGGGACTTCACTCCTGCGCCCTGACAGTCGTGCGTCGCTCCAGAACACATTGTGTGGTACGTTGACCATGAGAATCCATGGGCCCCTTGCACATGTGTGCAACGAGTGTGCGCGGTGCGAAAACGAGAGCCGCCGTTGCAACGAACTGTCCTCAATTCGCGAAGCCTCTTGCAGTTTTTGCAAGCGAATGTGCGTGGCGCGAAGATGAGAGCCACACGAGCCGCCCTCTATCCGTGAATCTCTTGCACATGTTTCAAACGAATGCGCGCGGCGTTTCACGACAAACGCATTTTGAAAACGAGCCGAATCCGTGAACCGCTTGCAAATGTTGGTATGAAATGTGCGCGACGCTAAGACGGGAGTCGCATTTTGGAAACCACCCGCCCTCAACCAATTTGTGCAAATGTAGGAAACAAACGAATGTGCGCGGCGTTCGGACGAACACCATTTTTTTCAAACGGCCCGCCGTCAACCAGTGAAATTTGTATAAATTTAAAGCGCATGTGCGCGGCGCTATGGCGACAACACATTTTGGAAGCGATCCACCCTTCACGCGTCAAACTGTTGCAATTGTTTTAGCACCAGGGTCATGAACGGCGAAGGAAGTATCCAGCGAAACGCTTCGCCCGCTCTTTGGACCAGCCTCGGTGTGCGACAAGGGGAGCTATTTATGAGACAAGGAATAGAGGAACAAGAAAGAACGAGAAGGAGGGGGAAGAAAAGGCACACGAGAAGGAGGAGGAGGAGGAAAGGAGGATTAATGCGACAGGGAGGATGTGGAAGAGGAAGGAGGACACAGGAAGAAAGGAGAGAAGGAACGGACGATGGCAAGGAGGATGGGGAACCAGGCTCTTGAGATATGTTGCTGTGCGAGGTTGTTGAAAGACGAACAAGGCCAGTTTAGGGCACTCTTGGGGCACTCGGGGGGGCCCTTGTGGGGCTCATGCTGGGGGCCTTGGAGCCCTATTGTGGCTAATTGGAGGGGTCTGGGAGGCCTCTTGGGCCCCATGGGTCAAAAAGAAAGGGGTACCCCATCCAGGTCCTTCGTCAGGGAGTTAAAAATTGCGTCTTTGGGCCCTCGTGGGCCGCTCCTGGAGAGCGTTTGGGCGTTCTTGGGGCCATCTTGGGGTCACCTCGCTCATGTCGGCACACCGCGTACACGCTTCGTGGCGTCACCCCGCCCATCTCGACACCCCCCTCACATGATTCGTCGTCCCACAGGGAATCTCGCCAAATGCCCCACTGGCAGCGAAGCGTCACCCCGCCGCCCATTCCGGCACACCCCGCACAAGTTTTGTGGCTCCGCAGGGAGCCCCAGCGAAGGCCCAGTGGCAGCCCCGCATGGCGCCGCCCCGCCCATTTCGGCAGGCCTCACAAGTTTCCTGGCCCCGCAGGGAACCCAATAAACGGCCCCAGTAGCAAGGCGTCACCCCGCACACAAGGCATGGGGTGGTGGTGCATGGGGCCATCTACCGATGCTGTGCTGCTTGTCCTCGCTTGGGCAGCCGCCCCTCTGCTTGCCGCGTTCTGCGTTCCCCCTTTCGCGTCCCTCCGTCTGCCTGTCCGTCAAGATACTGGCTGCCCTCGCGCACTTGTCCGACCTCTATCCTTCGCCTCCCCCCCCTGCTCCCCCCCCTGTTCCGTCGCACCCCCACCCCATTCATCCCCCCTCCATGCAGCCGAGGACAAGGCCATCAAGCGGTTCCAGGTCCGCAACATGGTGGACGCGTCGTCCCAGCGCGACATCCGCGACGCGAGCGTGTGCCCCGCTTGGCGTTGCGCTCTCCGTGGGGTTTCTCGGAGTTTCTCCGGATGTCCTTCGAGAGTTTCTTGGAGTCCCCTTGAGGTGTTTTGGGGGTCTGTTGGCAGTCGCGGGTGGCTGTTGGGGATCTTGGGTGCCTCTGGGGGGCCTCTTGAGGCCTCGTTGGGGTCTCTTGTCTGCCTCTTGGGGGCATCTTGGGGGCCTCTTGGGGCCAACTGGATGCCTCTTGGAGTCGTTTGGAGGCACCCTTCGAAGCCTCGAGGACCATATTGGTGCCATATTGGAGGAGATCCGTCAGAGGAGGGGGGTTCCTTTTGATGGCCTCTGAGGGGCCTCTTGGGGGCATCCCAGGACTTGTTCGGAGCCTTCTGTGGCCTATAGGAGGGCTTTGGGGGCCTCTGGGTACCTCTTTGGGATCTCTTGACCTTCGGAGGCCGTCTTCGGGCTATCCAGGCAGTCGTGGGTCCCCCTTCGGGCGCTTTAGGGTCGTCTTGGAGGCCTATGAGGCCGTTTTGGACGGCCGTTTGGGCCGTCTGGCGGGCCTCTTGGGGACTTTCTGATCCGTCTTGGGGCGATCTTTGAGACCTACATTGCTGTCTTGGAGCGGCGGAAGCCCGAAAAATCGAGAACGCTAAACTCATGAAACAACCTAAAGGACATTCATGATTTTGGCATCCTGGAGATCATGCTGGAGTCCTCTTGGGAAGTCGTGGGGGCCTGGTGGGCCGTCTGGAGACAGCCTTAGGCCGTCTTGGGTGCATCTTTAGCCGTCCTGGAGGCGTCTTGAGGCAATCTTGGGCTCTCTTAGGGCTATCTTAGATCTCTTGGGGGCATCTTGGAGGCCATCTTGGCCGTCTTGGGGAGATTGTTTGTGGACGTTGAGGTCGGAGGGCCCTGGGACCATTTTGGCAATGCTGCAAGTGTAATTTCCAGACCACGCTCCTGGGACCAATGGAAACGTTACCACGAGACAAGCCACAGGAGTTCCCGTGAGTTGGCGATGGCTTTCTTATTCGTGGTTCTGCCGGTCGGCGCGGGGCCTCGCACCCCCTCTCCCCCCCCCAGTGGAGTAGATCTCTTTGCTGTTTCTGGCGCCTGTTTCGCACAGGTGGACTCTCCCCCATACGACACACTGTTGCAAACAGTCGCGCTAAGCAGAGGTCCGGAGCCAGACCCCTCAACCCTCCCCCCCCTTCCGCCCAATGTCGAAACGCCGAACAAGAAAACGTTCACTTGGGATAGGGGGACTTCGGAAGAGCATCCAAACTACTCAACATAGAGAGCTCAAAGAGACCTGAGGCCCCTCGAACCAGTGCCTACGGCAAAGTGTTCGGTTTCTACACAAGGGAGTCGCTACTCAATTTGGTCCTCGAGGCCCTTTTAGGTGCATCCGGCCGTCGACCAGGTTATTGGAAGCAGGATGTCTAAGGACGCGGCCTCGAAGTTGTGTGAATGCTGTTGCTTGTAATGTGCGGCCCAAGCGGTGGAGGTGCCTTCCGTTGAGCATTGTCATTGTGTCCTACATGCACCATGGAAGAAGGATATAACCGACCTCCGAAGACCAGTGCTCTGTGTGAAAGGTGGCGTTACTGCGCGCTGCAGTGCTGATCGCGTAGGTGTTCTGGCGCTCTGCGAACTCTCGGGCCAGCTGCCCTGCTCCTCGAACGGCGCTCTCTCTCTCTCTCTCTGGCATCCCCATGGCTCTGCTCGCGATCGGGGCCGTTCTTGCCGTGCGCCTGATTCCAGAGTGCACGCTTGGCATGAGAGTCGGCAGTGTGCTCGTTTCGAGCGGGTGGCGTCTCCCCCAGAGGCGGCACTCTTGCAAAGAGTCGCGCTAAGCAGAGTTCTGGAGCCAGCCCTCCCCCCCCCTTTCCGCCCAATGTTAGGGGAACAAAAAGTGACATAAACATAAAAACTCGGAGGTCCGCGCGGATTTCTCGGATCGGCGCTGGGCCCCCCCAGCGGCGCCTCCAGCGCCGCCCCTGGCGCGCTCCGCGCGCCAGGGAGGGGGGTCCAGCGCCGATCCAAGAAATCCGCGCGGACCTCCGAGTTTTCATGTTTATGTCATTTTTTGTTCCCCTAATAAAAAACGCTCACTAGCGATCCATTGCAGTCGACTCCTTTGTCTCTCCGGAAGTTGGCCGCTGCCCCGTCCGCCCGCGCGCGGCCGTGGAGGGCGGCAGGCACCGAGTAACGAGGAGGGACGAGCCGCGCGAAGGGGCGCCGAACGGAAGCTTCCCGCACGCGTCGGGGGTCCAGGACGACAGCTGGATCGCGGATCTATCGTTATGTCGGGCCTGTCCCCCTACAGAGGGATTTTCGACGAAACAATAAATACCACAGAAATATTCGAAAATAATCCAAACATATTCTGGGGATTATTTTTTTATTATTTTTTGACCTTTTGGGTGTATTTGTTGGGTTTTGTTAGTTTTCCCCCGAAAATCCCCCTGTAGGGGGACAGGCCCGACCTAAATCTATCGAAGAACGTGAACTGTTCACGCTCCGTGCGGATTTCTCGGATGGGCGCCTTGGCCCCCCTGGCGACGCCTCCAGCGCCGCCCCTGGCGATCCGCGCGCAGCGCCAAGAGTGTATGTGTTTGCCGCTGTTCCTTCTCGGTGGTCCAAGACGAGACCTGGATCGAGGATCTAGGGCTCCAGGACCTGGATCGAGGGGACCTAGGACCTAAGATCTGGACCTCTCTGCCAGGGTCCAAGACGAGACTTGCATCGAGGACCCAGGGTTTTGCATGTCCCTCGGCCTCTTCGTGCCTCCCAGGGGTGCCCCCAGCACCACGGCAGGAGCCGCCCCCTGGGTGCTGACCAGAGCGCTCCCGCGGGGGCCCTCCTCTTGGCGTCACGGAGGGTCCTGGCTGCATAGTGTTCTGGCCTTTGGAAGTCCGTTTCGGGGCCAGGGACTGTCAACATCCGAAGGGCGCGCGGCGAGGTGCCGCTCTTGCACCTTCCGTTCGGCGCTCCAGGTACCCGTGGAGCGGAAAAAGACGCCACAGCGTGGCAGGCACGGGAAAGTCGCAGGCGACGCTTCTGCCCCAGACCCCCGACTTTTCCGAAGAAAAATGACAACAACAACAACAACAACAACAACAACAACAAGAACAAGAACAACAACATCATCGGCAGTAGTATCATCAGCGGCATCATCATCGGCGTCATCATCATCATGAACATCAGCAGCATCATCATCGACAGCAGCATCGTCATTACCATCATAAGTGTCATCATCCTCAGCATCATAATCATCATCATCAGCATCATCATCGTCATCAGAATCATCGTCATAGAAAAGGGCGCCCTTGGGATACACCCCCATGGGGGCTACTCATTCGGACGCACCCCTTGTCGAGGCTGGACGCCCCCCCCTTGTATATCCCAGGGTTGGGCTCAACATTTTTTTAGAAAAGGGTTTGGGCCAGAAAGCTAAATATTGGTTCGAGATAAATATTGGTCCACCCTTTTAGAAAAAGTTGATTTTTTGGAGGGGTCTTTGGGTATAGGGGTCCTTGGGTAAAGGGTTCACCGCAGGGGCCCCCCGCCATGCCCTTCTGCCACGGCCGCCTCGTGCGCACTGTTTCGGCAGTGCGGCCTTCGCCTCCCTCCTTGCCGTCGTCTCCTCCATGCTGCCCGCTGCGTTTCCCTCCCTCCCCCCTGAGGGGCTAGTTTGTTCTCAACCGTCAGGAGGGGGGGCGCAAAACCTTGTTTGGAATGGCGGAGGGACGAGGAGAAAAAAACGGAGGATCAGAACGAGGAGGAGCAGGAGGAGGAGGAGGAGGAGGAGGAGGAAAGGGAGCAGGAGGCGGAGGAGGAGGAGGAGGAGGAGGAGAAGGAGGAAAGGGAGGAGAAGGAGGAGGAGGAGCAGGAGCCTTCTCCGCGAGGCGTGGGTGCAGCTGCCCGGCAGGCCCCATCGGGGCCGGTTCCCTTCGCCGCCGAAGACCCAGTGGGAATGTGCGCGGGCCCTCTGTCTCTCTTTCTCTCTATCTCTCTACACCTCCCAGATCCTGGCATCGCTCGGACGCGTGTATTTTTTTTTCTCGGCGAGGACCCCTGAGGACCATCCTGGACCATCGAGCAACAAAAGCACGCACGGAACCGAAAAATGCACGGGAAATGGACGTCCGAGCGACGGCAAGAGATGGGGTCCGAGTAGATGGGGTCGGAGGATCGCGCCGCATCGCCGCTGCATTTGAAGGTGCGGCTCGATGTGGCGCCCGTGTGTCCCCACGTCGACGCCGCCGAGGCATCGCTGATGCATCGGCGATGCATTGGCGATGCAGTGCGCTCTTCCGACCCCATCTACTTTGACCTCATTTGGGAGGCCTCTGCTCTCTCTCTCTCTCTCTCTTGTTCTCTCTCTCTCTCTCTTGCGTCTGTGCTGCCGCCGCATTGGCACCGAGCAGACGAGGACTCCACTGCCTCCCTCCTTCGTCCCTTCTCCTCTCCCTCCCCGTGCCCCCGCCGAGGTACCAGACGTTCATGCTCCCGAAGCTCTACATGAAGATGCTGTACTGCGTGTCCTGCGCCATTCACGGCCGCGTTGTCAGGCACGCCAGTTGCCTGACACGGAACGTGTGAGAGCATGTGGATGTAGCAGGGACACGAGGAGTGCAATCCGACGAGCCTAGAGCGGCGTAACGCACAACTTGTCGGCGGTCCGAGCGAATTCCGATGGTGGGAGTTCTTCAGCCGCGGCGGCGTCTCTGGCGCCGACCCTGGCGCGCGGGTGTCCAGCGCCGACCCAAGAACTCCTCGCGGACGTCCGAAAGCGTATGTCTCTGCAGTTGTTCGTAACCTTCCCAGGATCCAGGCACAGCAGGGGACCACAACCAGACCTGAGAGGATGTTCTGGAGGACCCCATCGGGGGAGAACTCACCGACCTCGACGTGAACGCTTGGGTTTGGGGGCGTGGTCGGCTTGGGCGCCCTGGAGGCCCACGCCGACCACTACCACGACCAGTACTGCGCTGGTTTCGGTGTTGTGGCGGTTGCTGGCGCGCGCGAGGCATCCCCGGGGGCGTGTCCACGACGTGGTCGTGGTCGCTGTCTGCCCCCGCACCGGCAGGCGGAGCTCGGCGCAAGCAGGGGGCCAAATGCGAACCCTACCCCTACCCCCCCACGATTTCTGAGGGGGAGGGGGGGCTTCCATTCGCTCGGGAGCTCCCGAGCGAAGTGTACCCCACCCTCCCCCTCGGAGATCGTGGGGGGTAGGGGTAGGGTTCGCGTGTGGCCCCCTGGCAAGGAGTTCGGTTCTTCCTTGGGGGGGGCCTTCGCGGGGCACGCTGCCGTCGCCGAAAGTCCTGGCCGCCGCGCGCCCCAGGACGCTGCCTCGGGGGGCCCCGGCACGGCCATCAGTCAGAGCGTGAATTGCCTACCCCGCTTCCGCTTCCAGGAAAAACCAAGTCATGCCACGCGCCTCCTCGTCAAGTGGCCTGACCAGTGCAGGCCGTAGTTTGGCATCGCTTTGCATCTCTTGGAAGCGAGGGTGGTCAAAAGCGAGGTGGGTTTGCTTTCCCGAATCAGAAGGCCGTGGCCCGAGCGGAAGCCCTTTCTTGGGCCCGGGCGGTGCGCAGTCGGGGGGGCGCCGCTCAGCTGTGGCGGGGGGGGGGAGGAGGAGGAGGAGGAGGAGGAGGAGGAGGAGGAGGAGGAGGAGGTGCACCTGTCGTGCCCGAAGTTCTCCTCAGGGCCCCCTATGGAGCCCAAGTGGTGCATGAGGGGTGCACGGTGCTCTCCCCCAAAAAATGTACCTTCCCCCCGAAAGCAGCGCCCGAGGTCTGGGAGCTTTGGGCCATCAAAGAGCTGTACACCCTAGGCAATGCTTAAGAAAACCTAAGTTCCGTGCAGAGTCTCGATTATTCGTAACTTTTCAATGTAAATCCCAAGATTTTGATAGAAGTTCTGGGTTTTGTTCAATTTCTGAAACTATGAATTTCTTAACCCATGATTTCTTAAGCATTTCGCATGGTGTAGCCAGAATGGAAGGCCACTCTTGGGCGCACCCGAGGATTACAGAAGAATCACGGCGTCGGAGGTTCGGGCAAGAGGCCTGAGTGTCTACAACACGTCCCGAGAGCGTGGTCGGAATCCACGGCGTTGCGTGCAGTCCGACGCTCTTTTTCTCACAGCACTGGCACAGACTGGCTTGGAGACCGCCTCCTTGTGGAAGAATGTGCGGTGGACGTGCCCGTCCCCAAGTTGATGAGAGAGTGCTGCAGAACACTATAGGCAGATCCCTTCGGACCAATCCCTCGGACCAGTTTCGGAGGTCCGCGCAAATTTCTTGAATCGTCGTGGGACCCCCCTGGCGGCGCCTCTGGCGCCGCCCCTGGCGCTCTCCGCGCGCCGAATGAGCGGGGGCCAGCAACGATCCAAGAAATGCGCGCGGAACTTCGAGCGTGTACGCTTTTGCAGCTTCTCTTATCCTGAATCCCCCCCCGTCATGGAGTTGAAGAGCAACACCGAAGACGTCGACGACGCCGTCGCCGCCGACGACGACGGACGAAGGACGACAGACGACGGACGACGGACGACGACGAAGACGACGATTGTAGGCCCACTGCTTTCAGTCGCCGCAGCGGTGTTTCGCCCAGGCGACTCGCGCACAGCACAGAGGGCCCGCGACGGGTGATCGATCAACATGGGTTGCGGGCTGAAGGACGAACCATCAGTCGGGTGTGGCAGTTCCCCGAGCCTCCCTGGGAACCCCCAGTCGTTGTTTTGCTTGTTTCTGATGTTCGTGCTCTCCGAAATGCACAAGATATAAAAAACAGCTGTGTGGTTTTTCTGATGGTTCGGGTTCCGAGGCCACAAACATGAATGCAATACTAGTGTGAACCCCGCCGCAAAAAAAAACACCTCAACTAAAGCCAGACCCCCCCACAACTCGGAGATGTTTCGAAGTGGGGTCCGGGGGCCCCACAATCAAAATCAATACGATTTCTGAAACACTTCACCAATCAATTACCGAAAAACATGCGAACATAACCCAACTCCCGGGTTGTGTCGAATTGTTCGGGGAGGCCTGGGGCCCCACAAGTAAGAACAAAAATATTTCTGACTGCCCTCCCCCAAAGACAACAACATCAAATATGCTAAACAAGCCCAGCTCGGAGATTTTTCTATGGATTTTCGGGGGGTCCTGGCCCCCACAACTAAAAACAATATTATTTCAAACCCACCCCAAAACGGGTGATTTTCAATGTTTTCGCGGTGGGTTCTGGGGCCCTACATTTAAACATGGCATTATGTTTTCCCCACCCGGCACGAACACCCGCCAATCCCAGAAACAATTCCCAGCTCGGGGGTTTCTCGAATGCTTTCCGGAGGGTTCCGGGGCCCCACACCTAAAAACAAGACTGTTCCTGAAACTACCCTGCAGTAAAACACCGAGGGTAATCCGAAACAATCCCCAACCCAAAAGTCTTTAGAAGATCTGTCGGGCGGCTCTGGGGCCCCAAGCCCCACACGTACACACAATACTTCGTGTGAAGGCCCCTGAGCCCCCCCGCAAAAAAACGAAAAGCTTCCGAACAAGAACAACAACAGATCGGGTGTTTTGTCCCGGGGGGCGCGGGGGCCCGCAGTTAAAACTGATATTTTTGTGTTGGCTCTCCCTTCATAAGAACACCCAACAGGTTTCGACAACGAAACCAAGCTCGGGTGTTTGCTCAGAGTTGTTTCTGGTGGTTCTGCGGCCCCACGATTGAAAACATATTTAATTTGCTGTTCACCCACCCCAGAAAAATATGAGAACAGCATTTGAAAAAAAAGCACACAACACTCTTCGTTGTTTGCATGGTTTTCACGGGGTTCCAGGGCCACATCAATAACAACATAATTATAGTTGACCCGTTAAAAATCAAAATATCCACCCACATGCAATTCCAACTCAAGTGTTGTTCGGTGGTAGTTCGCTCAAGCCCCGGGGCATTGAATGTTCTGTAAAGCGAAGAAAACATAAACACATAAAACAAACAAAACAACTCAGGACTTTTCTTCGAAGGGTTTTTCGATGGGTTCCAGGGGGGGTCCATTTAAAACAAGAGTATACATATATACAAAGCGAATAATCCCCCAATTCGGGTTTTCCTTAGAGTAGTTGTTCAGTGTTTCTCGGGCTCTGGGAGTGGGACCCTCGAAAAAAAAACAACTCCGTGGTTGTGTATTGGTTTTTCAGAGGTTCTCGGGGGCCCTCCCCAAGGGTCAAGGGAGGAAAGTCCAGGGGGGAAAACTGAGGCAAACGCTCCAACTCGGGGGTCTGTCAGATTTTTTTGGGGGGGTCTTGGGCCCCACAGTTAGAGACGTAACTATTTTTGGTCCCCCCTCCTCAAACAAATTACAGACAAATCCGAGACACACATCCCACCTGAGAGTTCCGTGGTGTCCCTGGCCACCCCAGGCTCCGGCGGGGAAAACTAAAAAACTTGCCAATTTGGAGGTCCAGGGCGCCACATCAACAAACAATAGTATTAATATCAGCGTTCTGAATATTAACTTATTCTTCTTAAGTATACATACGCACAAGCACACATATATAGATACATACGTGCATACATTCATCCATACATACATACATTCATACATACGTACACATCTATGTATTGACTGTTGTGTCATTTGTTTTTCGGCGGTTCTCTGGCCACCCTAGCCTCCAGGGTGGGGCGGGGGCACCAAAAAAAAAACACAGCTCGCGGGTTTATAGTTAGTTGTCTCTTTTTGTTGTGCTTTTGTTTGCTGGGCTTTCCGTGGAGAGGAACTCCCGAGTAACAAAATATCCAGTTCGGGTTTTTGTTCAGTGTTTTTTCGGGAGAGTCAGGGGCCGTATCATTCAAAACAGCATTACGTATTACAAGTGTACCATTATTGGTCGTAATATGATTATGTGTTATCCTTGTTGGTATTGGAATATCAGTATCATCATTTCCATCACCACTATTCAACTTATATACCTATACGACCACCCTTCGGGTGATAAGGAGGTTGTGAGGGGGGAGAGAGAGAGAGAGAGCGGGGGGAGCCAAGATCTGACTCAATCGATCTCACTATCGATCTCACTCAACAAGACGCCACGGGACTCCGCGGGACACCCCTCGATCTCACTATCGGTCTCACTATCGATCTCACTATCGATCTCACTCAACGGGACACCATTGGACAACTCGGGACACCACATCGATCTGACTATCGATCTCACTATCGATCTCACTCAACGGGACACCACGGGACACCTGTCGATCTCATTATCGATCTCACTTTTTAGGACACCACGGGACACCTCGGGGCACCACATCGATCTCACTATCGATCTCACTATCGATCTCACTCAACGGGACACCAGGGGACACCACAGGACACCTGTCGATCTCACTATCGATCTCGCTTTTTGGGACACCACGGGACACCTCGGGGCACCACATCGATCTCAGCATCGATCTCACTATCGATCTCACTCATCGATCTCATTATCGATCTCACTCAACGGGACACCACAGGACACCGCGGGACACCGCGAGCCACCGCGAGCCACCTCCAGACGGACGGACGGACGGGCGGGGGAGAATCATTTGTCTTTGCTTCGCCCTAGCAACGGCGGACACCACGGGACACCGCGAGCCACCACAGGACGGGCGGGCGGGCGGGGGAGAATCATTTGTCTTGACTTCGCCCTAGCAACGGCGGGTTCAGCCCTCTCGCGCGCTCGCGCAGCTTCGCCTCGCCCGCACGCACGACACGAACGAAACGAAACGATGTCCCAGTTGGGGGTCTCCGTTCCACTGCGGTCTCACCCCCCATCCTCCAATATACATGTATGTAATAATAAGAATATGAAATAACAGTAACAATAATAAGACTAAGAATACTACTACTAATAATGATAAAAACTAATCATAATAAAACTAATAGTAGTAAGAATAATGATAATAGTAGTAATAATAGCAATAACAATAACAATAATAACAACTCATATCAAACAAAAACGAGCACCTCCCCAACTCGGTGTGTTCTCCCGTTCGATGTTTTTTTGCTCGGGGCTTCCCGGCCCCCACCACCAACAGAACATCCCGCACACGCCCCCTCTACGGGGCCACCTGCGAACCCTGCCCCCCCCACGATTTCTGAGGGGGAGGGCGGGGTCCACTTCGCAGAGGGGAGGGGGCCACATGCGAACCCCGCCCTCCCCCTGAGAAATCGTGGGGGGCAGGGGTAGGGCTCGCACGTGGCCCCCCTACCCTCGTGCGCGCCGCCGGCCGACCCCCCGCCCGCCCGCGCCAGGGTCCGCAACAAGGTCCTGCGCGCCAGCCCCGAGGGTGGCCTCCCCGGCTGCCGGCTTCCGGCCCGGCCACGCCTCGGGGCACGGGCCCAGACCCCCTCCTCCCCCCTCCTCCTCCTCCTCCTCCCTCTTCCTCCTCCTCCTCCTCCTCCTCCTCCTCCTCCTCCTCCTCCCCCTCCTCCTCCTCCTCCTCCTCCTCCTCCTCCCCCTCCTCCTCCTCCTCCTCCTCCTCCTCTCCTCCTCCTCCTCCTCCCTCCTCCTCCTCCTCCCTCCTCCTCCTCCTCCTCCTCCTCCTCCTCCGCCTCCTGCTCCCTTTCCTCCTCCTCCTCCTCCTCCTCCTCCTCCTCCTCCTCCTCCTCCTTGTCAAAGGGTCACCCCGGGAGGTTTTGCATTGCGTTCGGCCTCCAGTTGCCCTCACCGGGCCTCGGGACCGTCATGGAACGACTCAGGATGAAAAGCGGGTCCCAGGGAAGGGGTCGGGACCTCTTTCTAGGTCTCTTCTAGGTGGGATCCGAGCAGACGGGGCCCGAGGATGGCGCCGCATCGCCGACGCATCGACGATGTGGCCCGATTTTCAGCCCGTCGTGTTTCCCCACGCCGACATCGCCGATGCCTTGCCGACGTCGCCGATGCATCGCAGATGCATCGCCGAGGCATCGGCGATGCGTTGGCGATGCGGCACGATCCTTCGACCCCATCCACTCGGACCCCATCTAAAAAACCTCTACCTCTGGGGGTCGACGCTGTGAAAAAGTCACGACGTCGGGGATCTGGGCGCCACGGCTCCTCGGAGATGGTCTTTTCATCCCTCTGCCGCGTAAGCCCTCAGAGGAGGAGACGAGGGCACCCCTACCGCCACCCGCCACCCCTGCCCAGTCCCGCTGAAGCCAGCTTGATCCCGCTTGATATCCCGTTTGACCCGATGACGAAGATAATAAAGTACCCCCCCATTAAGTAGTTTGAGTTTATTATCGTCGGCCTAGAAGGGTTTCAAATGTAGGCGGAGAGCGCGGAGGCCGAACTTTCTTATCATTGGGAAAGTTCGCCATCGAGCGCACTCTCTATCTCTTCTCTCTCTCTCTCTCTATCTCTTTCTCTGTTTCTCGTTATCTTTCTTTCTCTCTCTCTCTCTCTCGTTCTCTCTCTATCTCTCTCCTTCTTTCTCCTCCTCCCCCTGGCCCCCTGAACTTTATATTATCGTTGGGGTTGATTATCCTGGGGAAATGAGGCACATGAGCTACCCTACACGAGCAGATGAACATTTTAATTTCCATTAAGCGTTTGCAAATTAAATCTAAAAGGTTTTGAACTTTTGATTTTTCCTTCGCCCACCTCCTATTCCTCTCCTCTCTCTCCCTCTGTCTCGCTCTCTCTCTCTCTCTCTCCACCTCTCTCTTTCTCTCTCTCTATATATATATATATCTTTCTGTCCCTCTCAACCTCTCTCTATCTCTCTATGTTTCTCTTTCTCTTTTAATTTCTCTCTCCATATATTTCTCCTTCTCCCCGTGGCCCCCTGAACTTTATTATCGCTGCGGTTTATTATCGACAGCAAGGTTATGAACCTCTGACTGCGAGCAGTCTCAGCAGTTCCGAGCTTGTGCGCGAGACCCTAGCAAAAAACAATACGATTCCGAGGATGTCCCAAGCGAAATAAGCAATTGTTCGAGGATACCTCAAGCGAGACGAGAGGTTTGTCTACAATCTCTCAAGCGCAGCAAACAATTATTTCGAGGATGTCTCAAGCGAAACGACAGATTTGTCGAGGATGCCTCAAGCGAAACAGACCATTATTAAGGATGTTTCAGAGAGGACCATAAGCTAAGGATGTCTCAAGATATCCTCGGCTTTGGCTCCTCTGTTAACATCTTTATGCTGGCCTCTGGTGGGCAATTTTTATTTTCACTCCGTGACCGCCGAACTTTATTATCCCTGGGGGGTTATTCTCTATAGTAGAGGGTTACTCCGCGGCCCGCTCCAGCGTAGTAGCCCCCAGTGGGGCTTGGGCTTCATTCTCCCTACTCCTTCCGACGAAGACCTCCAAGTAGCCGCCAGCGGTCTCGATGCCTTTCCGTTTCCGCATCCTTGGGCCAAGCCGCCCCCCCGCGGATGACGGCCACAGTCGCACGAGGGGGGGGGAGGCGCCTGGACCCCCCGCACATGCTGGTGCTCGCGCGCGTGCTGTGGCGATCGCAGCGCACGCCCGCTCCGACGTGCCCCACCCCGCCCAGGCGTTTCCACTGAATATTCTAGATTTCGTGATAAAGGGAGGGGGGTCTCACTTCGGGGGGGGGTCTCCTCCAGGCCACCCTGGAGGGCCTGGGGGGCCTGGGGACGATGTTTTGGAGGGTTCTCCCACGGGGGAGGTCTGAAGTGGCTTGTCTTGGAGGGTCCAGACCCCCTCCCTTTTATCACGAAATCTGGAGTACCCGGGGCCGCAACCTTCTGCCCCCACGGGCAACGACCGATACCGGGGGTCTCCCGGGCCCCTCGCCGGTCCCCATCTCGCCGTCGTGACCGACTGCGAATGCCCCAGAGAGTGAGGTGATCAAGCGTTTCTCTCTCGTGTCGCCAGCCCACGTGGCATCATTCTTGTTCTGTCGGCGTGCTCGTGGCGAGCGAGAAGGAGGAGGAGGAGGAGGAGGACCAGTAGAACCCCCACACGCGTCAACGATGTTGCAAGAAGGCCTCCCTCCAAGTTCCCTCTCCTTCGGTCTCTGCCAGATGTTGCTTCGTTGCGGGAAGTACCCTAATTATCGGAGGACGACCGTTGGAGAATCCCCAGTCGGTGTAACTGGGGCTTCCACGCCGCGAGTCAACGCGACTGTTGCGTCCTGACGATCCTGAGTTGTGCCAGAACGCCGGCTTGGGGAGTCATCACCGCGAATCAACGATGACGATGATGATGATGATGATGATGATGATGATGATCATCATCATCATCATCATCATCGTCATCATCATCGTCGTCATCATCATCACTGCTGCGTCCAATCAATGCTAAGCCGTGCCAGCACATTATTCCTGGCAGTTCACCATACGACTGCACGACGGTGCTGTCAAAGCTTTGAGGACGAGTGCACGCGGCGATGATGCGAAAGCAATCTGTTGACAACGATCCGCCCTCCACCCATGAAACTGTTACAAATTTTCGCGACCAATATACTTGGCGACATTTCGAGAGCCAAATTGTTGAATAAAAGCAAAGGTAATTCCCGGCTTACATTTATGAAGTTGCTCCAAAATTTGTGCCACAAATGTGCGCGGATCTACGACGAAAACGACATCTTGATAACGGGCCGCCATCCATCCTAGAAGTTGCTGCAAGCTTGTAAGACGAAAGTGCACGGCGCTAAGGCGAGAGCCACATTTTGACAACCACCAGCCCTCAATCTTTGAAAGTGGTGCAAATTTCAAGCTTCGCGGTCATCAGCGGTGAAGGAGTCTCAGACGAAACGCCCGGGCCGTCCTACCGACACGTCTGCGGGTGGGACAGGGAGGAGTTTTTCTTTGTCAGATAGAGGGAAGGAGGAGGTGGAGAAGGCCTCTCGATGCCTTCTTGGGGCACTCTTGGGCCAAAGTAGGTCTTGGAGGGCCTTTGGAGGACCTTGGGGAGGCTTTTTGGTCGTCTGAGGGCGTTCCTCTCCCGTCGGGGCCCGTCTTGGAGGCCTCCTTGGGCCGACTTATGGGCCCTCTTGGGGCGCCTCAGGGCCGTCATGGAAGCCATCGTGAGCGCGTCGTCATATGGCTATTTTGGAGGCATCTCGGACGATCTTGGGGCGATCCAGGGGGCCTCGGGTCGCCTTGGGCCATCGGAAGGCAGACAAGATACAAGTAGTTACCAACATCCGATTTAATAAACTTACCCCGGCGAAGAACCCAACCCATGATACACGCGTGGGAGCTCCCACTGGGGCCTCCGGTGGAGCTCCCGATGGGGCCACGAAACGTGTGAGGGGTGTGCCAGGAGGGACCCGAGTCACCATGCGGACGCAGCATTTGGGGCCTTCTGGGGAGCTCCCTATGGGGCCACGAAAGGTGTGAGGGGTGTGCCAGAAGGAGCCCGAGTCACCATGCGGACGCAGCCACTGGGGCCTTCGGTGGGGCTCCCTATGGGACCACGAAAGGTGTGAGGGGTGTGCCAGAAGGGACCCGAGTCACCACGCGGACGCAGCCACCGGGGCCTTCGGTGGAGCTCCCTATGGGGCCACGAAGCTTGTGAGGGGTGCGCCGAAACGGTGATGGGAATGATGATGGTGGTGGCGATGGTGATGTTGATGCTGATGGTGGTGGTGAGGATGATGATGATGATGATGGTGATGATGATGATGCTGATCCTGATGTTGATGCTGATGATGATGATGATGATGATGATGATGATGATGATGATGATGATGTTGATGTTGATGTTGATGCTGATGTTGATGTTGATGTTGATGTTGATGCTGATGATGATGGTGATGGTAATGGTGATGGTGATGGTGATGATGTTGGTGATGCTGAGGATGATGCTGATGATGATGATGATGCTGATGCTGATGATGATGATGATGATGCTGATGATGATGATAATGATTATGATGCTGATGATGATGATGATGCTGATGATGATGATGATGATGATGATGATGATGATGATGATGGTGGTGGTTGTGATGGTGATGGTGTTGATGGTGATGGGGAGAGGGGAGAAGAGGATGAGGAGGACGTGGAAGGAGTAGTAAAGAGGAAGAGGAGAGGAAGGAGGAGGGGGAGGAGGAAGGAATAGTATGGAGACGCGCGGCGCTGCGAATTCAAAACGAGGACCCAACACACAGAGGGTTGGGAAAACACGTGTAGAAATGTAATGAGTTGGACCTCTTCGAGCTTTCCTGGAGAACTTTGGGAACCTGTTGGGCCGTCTGGAGCAATTTGTTATGCCATAGTAGGTCGTCTTGGGTGCATTTGGGCCATCTTGGGCTCTCTTGGGGCCATCTTGGCCGTCTGGGAGGGAAGCCCAAACACGCGCTGGACTGTTGGGGCGGCGCTGTGGGTCCTTCTGGGTGGCCGGCGGGATTGGCCTAATGCCCATCATAATCGTGTTGAATCAGAGCCAAACAATTCCCGAACGTCCAGCGCTGCATGCACCCCTTGTGGCAAGCGCAGGCGGCAGTGGATCTAGTAGGTTGTGGCCAATCTCGCCACCGATCCTGGAGGCGATCTCTGGGGCTTTCGTGGCGGCCTGCGCATCATTCAGAACATCCACTTTGTGTTTTTTTTTCATATGGTGTAATGGTTCTCCGGAAGTGTGTCAGGTGGAATCTGCTCTCTGGCCATACCGCTTACATTCCGCGGTGCACGGGGTGGCGTTGTGTGGGGTGCTCTCGGAAAGCTTGCAAACGCTTATGTAGAGCGTTTGATATTTCGAAGGCTTTGCAGCCAGTGCCACCAACCCTGAAGGGAGACGACAAGGATGACGACGACGACGACGACGACGACGACGACGACGACGACGACGACAACGGACGCGGCGACGACGACGACGCTGACAAGGGGCAGAGTCCTCAGGGATGGTTCTTGGGGTCTCTTCGGAAGGTTCTCGGGAGCCTCTGGGGAGGAATTTGGGGGCCTCTTGGGAGCCTCTCGGGGCCCTTTTTGGGGAGCCTCTGGGGGGCCTCTTCGGGCTTCCCGGGGACCCCCTGTGGGCCTCTTGGGGCCTCTTGGGAACCTCTTGAGGCCTCCTGGGAGCCTCTGGGGGCCGAGGGCTCGAAATGTCCGTTCGGGTCCCCCCGTCTGGGCACGCGCCTCTTGGAGCCGTCTCGGGGGCCTCCTGGGCCGTCTTGGGGGGCGCTTTGGGTCTTGGGGTCCTTTGGGGCTGTTTTGGGGGCCCTCTTTGAGGCCTCCCGGGGCGATGTTGGGGGCCTCTTGCGCCGACTTGGAGCGGTGGGACGTTGAAAAGGCGAGAACGCCCAAAGCTTCGAAGAACCAACGGGAAGTCAATGAATTTGCCTCTTGGAGCCCTCTCGGGAGTGCTCTTGGAGGCTTTTTGGGGCGTCCTGGTGGCCTCCTGGGCAGTCTGGAGGGCGTGAAGGCGTTTTGGACGGATCGTTTGGCGATTGAGGGCCCTCTTCGATCGTCTCGGGTGCCTCTTGGCCTGTTTTGGTGTTTCCTGAGGCCCCGGGACTCCCAGGGGGTCATGCGTATTTGACCCTCCCCCCCCGCTCCCCCAGGATTCACCCCTGTGGAGTCTCAGACAAACGTTAACCCCACTCTAGCAAGAACTTGGCGCCCCAGCCCAGCGCGGGAGAGCCCCCCGAACGAGGCCCAAACAGTGGCAGGACACTGGCCTGATATGGACCAAACATTTCCCAAATCCCCCCCCGACCCCTCCGGGACCCCCCCCCCCCCGACGGGGGGAGGGATCAAAGGGAAGGGGCTTCCGACTCGATTACGACACTGCCAGATGTGTTTTCCGTTGGCAAGCATGAGGAGGAGGGTGCAGGGAAAGGGTGCGACAGAGACGTCGATTGACGGAGACGACGACTCGAACAGACGAGCCCCTCACACACGCTGACATGGTCGGCTGATTTCTTTCGCGGTGAGCACTCTCGTTGGAAAGTTTCCCAATCAGATCATGCGGTCCTGTTCCTAGTTCTCCCTTCTGGTCGTGGCTCCGCCGCCCTCCCTCGACGCTGATGGGGGAGAAAGGAGGGAAGCGGGGGGAGGTGATCATCCCCTCCATTTTCCCTCCGAAGACTCCTCCGTGTTGCCTCTGGGACAGACTTTTTCCTCCTGCTCCCTCCACCCCCGCCTCTCTCTTCTCCTCGCTTCCTTTTCACGTCGGGTCGGCTCTACTTGAAAGGCTATCGACGCTCGTGCGCGACGTCGAACCTGCAGTGCAGCACGCAACAGCGGCAATCGCGCGGGGAACAAGAGGTGCTGAGAGGAGCGGGAGTGCAGTGGAGCCCACACGTTTCCCCCTCCTCTGCCCTCCCCAGACCTCCGGCGTGTGTGTTCTGTTCACGACGCGGGCCCGCCCAGGGGAGTGCGCTATGGTCCCGGGCCTCAGAGACGGTCTCCAGAGCCCGACGGCGCTGAAGCACAGGCTGTCTTGATTCTTGCTTCTCCAGGATGTCATAGGTCTGGCTCCTCCGTGCTCTTCCCCCCCTAGAACGCAACCCCTGGAAAGTTCAATTCAGCATCGGCATTGGTATATCCGTTGCCGAAAATCGACCTACTCCCGTTCCACATCGGCTAATCCCCTAAATGAGGTTTCGTTTCGATCTTGATCTGGGCCGATCTGGCTCCATGGCCCCTGCATTCCTGATAGCCGATAGTTCTTACGAAGACCTCCCAGAAGCAGAAGCTGCCCTCCTTCCTCGTCCTCCTCCTCCTCCTCCCTCCTTCCTCCTTCCTCCTTCCTCCTTCCTCCCTCCTCCCTCCTTCCTCCTCCCTCCTCCCTCCTCCCTCCTCCTCCTCCTCCTCCTCCTCCTCCCCAAGCGTCCTCCGATCTGTTCTCTTCATCTCGATTCCCCTCCCAGCTGCATGGCCACCGAGGCCGCATCTACGTGCGCCCCACGTTCGGCAAGGGCGGCGGCAAGGGCGCCTAGGGCGGCGGCCAGTGAGAGGGGGCGGGGAAAAACGAGCGCGCTCCGGCGGCCGGGCCCGGCAGAGAGCTCCCCGTGCCGCGCGAGAGGCTCAAAGGCGCCAGGAGGAGGAGGATACGATGCTCGGCTGCGCGCCCCAGGGGGAAAATCAGGAGGGAAAGAAACACACAGACACAATTAATCTTCGATTTCTTGGAAAATATGGGAACATATGGGAAGTGGTGGGAAAGACAAAGAACCAGAAAATATGGGAAAATATGGGGAATCTTTTTATTTGTGTGTATTTATTTGTGTGTCCTGGGGCCCCTTCAGAAAAGGCCGGGGGGGCGAGCCCTCTTCGAGGGCTCAGAAGGCTGCAGGTCCAAGGGGGAAGACCGAGGGGGCGAGCCCGCCCTCTGCGAGGGCTCAGAAGGCCTGAGATTAGGAGTGCAACTGGTGGGAGGTCTTCCGCGGAAGCATGAAGGAGGATCAAGCCCCACTGGGGGGCTGTTGCGCCGGATTGGGCCTCGGAGTAGGCGGGATTGTGCCAGATTAGAACAGGTTCAGTCGGACTCAGCCGGATTAAGCGGGAATGCACCGGATTTCGGAGCAGGGCAAAAGCAGAAATTGATTTCCCAAGGGTTGCATCTGGCCTCCGAGAAGCTCTTTTAAGGTCTCGGAGACTTGGTCTCCCCTGCGGCCTGGGCAGCTCCTCCGGAGGCCAGGGGGCTTCTGAGGAGTCCCCCCGTCTCCGGAGGCGGCCCGCCCCCCCTCGGTGCTCCCCGGGCGCCCCGCCGAGGCACGGTCCAGTGGAGGCCCATGCCAAGGAACACCCTGCTTGCCTCCAGGGTGCTCTGGGTTTCGAGGGTTTTGCTAGAAAACAACGATGAGTTCATGCATACATGTTTTCATGCATTAATCATGTATTGAAATCCGATAGTATTAAAATCATGTATTAAAATATCGCGGCAACGCAACCTAACAGCGACGTGTAGGAACATATCTGGAAGCATTCCCCTTAATATTCAGATGAGAATCCAGTTGTAGAATTATGCTGTTCTCGCAGTCGCAGTCGCATTCGCGATGACAGTCGCAGTGGCAATGGCAGTCGCAGCCTCAGTCTCAGCCTGCCTCAGCATCAGCCTGCCTCAGCCTCAGCCTCAGCCTGCCTCAGCCTCAGCCTGCCTGCCTCAGCCTCAGCCTCAGCCTCAGCCTCAGTCTGCCTTCAGCCTCGGCCTCAGCCTCAGCCTGCCTCAGCCTCAGCCTGCATCAGCCTCAGCCTCAGCCTCAGCCTGCCTCAGCATCAGCCTGCCTCAGCCTCAGCCTCAGCCTGCCTCAGCCTCAGCCTCAGCCTGCTTCAGCCTCAGCCTCAGTCTGCCTTCAGCCTCGGCCTCAGCCTCAGCCTCAGCCTCAGCCTGCCTCAGCCTCAGCCTCAGCCTGCCTCAGCCTCAGCCTCAGCCTCAGCCTCAGCCTCAGCCTGCTTCAGCCTCAGCCTCAGTCTGCCTTCAGCCTCGGCCTCAGCCTCAGCCTGCCTCAGCCTCAGCCTGCATCAGCCTCAGCCTCAGCCTCAGCCTCAGCATCAGCCTGCCTCAGCCTCAGCCTCAGCCTGCCTCAGCCTCAGCCTCAGCCTGCAGCCTCAGCCTCAGCCTCAGCCTGCATCAGCCTCAGCCTCAGCCTCAGCCTGCCTCAGCCTCAGCCTGCCTCAGCCTCAGCCTCAGCCTGCCTTCAGCCTCAGCCTCAGTCTGCCTTCAGCCTCGGCCTCAGCCTCAGCCTGCCTCAGCCTCAGCCTGCATCAGCCTCAGCCTCAGCCTCAGCCTGCCTCAGCATCAGCCTGCCTCAGCCTCAGCCTCAGCCTGCCTCAGCCTCAGCCTCAGCCTGCTTCAGCCTCAGCCTCAGTCTGCCTTCAGCCTCGGCCTCAGCCTCAGCCTGCCTCAGCCTCAGCCTGCATCAGCCTCAGCCTCAGCCTCAGCCTGCCTCAGCCTCAGCCTGCCTCAGCCTCAGCCTCAGCCTGCCTCAGCCTCAGCCTCAGCCTGCTTCAGCCTCAGCCTCAGTCTGCCTTCAGCCTCGGCCTCAGCCTCAGCCTGCCTCAGCCTCAGCCTGCCTCAGCCTCAGCCTCAGCCTGCCTTCAGCCTCAGCCTCAGCCTCTGCCTTCAGCCTCGGCCTCAGCCTCAGCCTGCCTCAGCCTCAGCCTGCATCAGCCTCAGCCTCAGCCTCAGCCTGCCTCAGCATCAGCCTGCCTCAGCCTCAGCCTCAGCCTGCCTCAGCCTCAGCCTCAGCCTGCTTCAGCCTCAGCCTCAGTCTGCCTTCAGCCTCGGCCTCAGCCTCAGCCTGCCTCAGCCTCAGCCTGCATCAGCCTCAGCCTCAGCCTCAGCCTGCCTCAGCATCAGCCTGCCTCAGCCTCAGCCTGCCTCTGCCTCAGCCTCAGCCTGCTTCAGCCTCAGCCTCAGTCTGCCTTCAGCCTCGGCCTCAGCCTCAGCCTGCCTCAGCCTCAGCCTGCCTCAGCCTCAGCCTCAGCCTGCCTCAGCCTCAGCCTCAGCCTGCTTCAGCCTCAGCCTCAGTCTGCCTTCAGCCTCGGCCTCAGCCTCAGCCTGCCTCAGCCTCAGCCTGCATCAGCCTCAGCCTCAGCCTCAGCCTGCCTCAGCCTCAGCCTGCCTCAGCCTCAGCCTCAGCCTGCCTCAGCCTCAGCCTGCTTCAGCCTCAGCCTCAGTCTGCCTTCAGCCTCGGCCTCAGCCTCAGCCTGCCTCAGCCTCAGCCTGCATCAGCCTCAGCCTCAGCCTCAGCCTGCCTCAGCCTCAGCCTCAGCCTGCCTTCAGCCTCAGCCTCAGTCTGCCTTCAGCCTCGGCCTCAGCCTCAGCCTGCCTTAGCCTCAGCCTGCATCAGCCTCAGCCTCGGCCTGCCTCAGCCTCAGCCTGCGTCAGCCTCAGTCTCAGCCTGCTTCAGCCTCAGCCTCAGCCTGCTTCAGCCTCAGCCTCAGTCAGCCTTCAGCCTCGGCCGCAGCCTCAGCCTGCCTCAGCCTCAGCCTTCATCAGCCTCAGCCTCAGCCTCAGCCTGCCTCAGCATCAGCCTCAGCCTGCCTCAGCCTCAGCCTCAGCCTGCTTCAGCCTGCCTCAGCCTCAGTCTGCCTTCAGCCTCGGCCTCAGCCTCAGCCTCAGCCTCAGCCTCAGCCTGCCTCAGCATTCAAAATCATGCCCAGGAATGGAGTTCTGGGAACTCGAAGAGCACGAAGTGGCCTACAGTTGGCTCCGGGCATCAAAATCATACCCAGGAGTGGAGTTCTGGGAACTCGAAGAGCACGAAGTGGCCTACAGTTTGCTCCGGGCATTCAAAATCATGCCCAGGAGTGGAATTCTGGGAACTCGAAGACCACGAAGTGGCATACAGTTGGCTCCGGGCATTCAAAATCATGCCCAGGAATGCAGTTCTGGGAATTCGAAGACCACGAAGTGGCCTACAGTTGGCTCGGGGCATTCAAAATCATGCCCAGGAAAGGAGTTCTGGGACCTCGAAGACCACGAAATGTGTAACCGTTTGCTTAAAACGACTACCGCGGATCCCTGTCCGGATGCCGCGCAGACCCCCCTGGGGAGTTGGAGGGTGGAAGAGGGGGTCTGCAACAGGGGGTCTTCAATGGGGGCTGAATGGCCCATGTATGCTCAATGTATCGTTCATGTAAGTGATCGGGTACGATTGGTATCCAATGCTGGCGGTCATTGATGGCCAGTCATTCGTGCCCGCGCGTTGCCCGCGCGGGCACGCGCGCCGTCCATCCATTATCGTTCATGCGTGCGGGCTTTCTTGCATATTCCGTGTGTGCCGGCGAAGTGGAGTGCAAGTGTGTCTTGATTGTGCGGTTGATGATCGCGTATGTTCCCAAACGATGACTTCTCGACCCCCAAGACAGATTTGGATTGGGCCCCGCGATTCTCCCAAAATGTGAATTCACATTTTGTTTTTTTCCAAAATGTGAATTCACATTTTCCTTTTTCCCAAAATGTGAATTCACATTCTGGCCCCTTCACAAAGAATCCTACACCAAATTCCAAAATGTGAATTCATATTTTCCTTTTTCCCAAAATGTGAATTCACATTATCCTTTTTCCCAAAATGTGAATTCACATTTTGCTTTTCCCCACAATGTGAATTCACATTTTGCCCTGGCCATCAAGATCCCCAAAACTGAGGCGCAGTGTTCCGCATGTCAGATTGGCTGGGCAGATTTCGACACTCACCTGACCGCTTTCGTGTGTTCCAGCCATTTCCTTCTGCGCCCTTAGCGCGCGTTGCCTTCGTCGCCTTTCCCGAGCCCCCCGCCCCCTTGCTTCCTTTCCCCTCAAGTCTCGCGCGCGGGTCCAGGCGGGGGGCTTCAATTAGTTCCCCCGCCGAACACAGCAATCGAGGATGTATCGCCCATTCATGGCCTTTGAAAACATCCTTCCCGGGACCCTGCGCCCGACCCCCACTTTCACCCTCCAAGGGAGTCATGATGCTCTCTCTTGACCCTACTAGAAACATATCAGTCTTCGCTGTTAGGTAATCATATGTATTAAAAGCTGCCCTGTAGAAGCAGCACCCGATTGTCCTTGTCAAAATCCATTGCAAGAGTGGCCGCGCGGCGCCTCGGCGAAGCAGCGGCACGTGCGCGCCCCTCGCCTCCTGCCCGCCGCGCCCGTGGCCGCTGCGGGCGGCCACCGGCACCCTCGCATCGGGCGGGAGCGGCAGGGCAGCAGCAGGCAGCAGCAGGAGGAGCAGGGGCATCGACCTGCTGGCGCGCCTCCCCCCTTTTTTGTTTTTAATGCTTCATTGTTGTTGTTGTATTTTCTTGTTTGTTCTTGCTGGTCCTGGCCTTTTTTTTGTTTTCTCTCTCTCTCTCTCTCGCTCTCTCCCGAAGACGACGCCCGTTTCTGGCCTCGTCGTCGGCGGCTCGCCCGTTTTCGCTCGCGAGCCGCCCCTCGTCGCGCCGCAGGTTGCTCTGCTCTGCCCGCCGGCCCTGCCCTGCCTGGTCCTTCCTTCCCCCCTCTTCCCCCATCTTCACCTGCGCCGTCTGCACAGGCCTCCCGCTCCACTCGTCCAGGTCCAGTTTCGTTGCGGCCCAGCCCGCCGCTGCTTCGACCGCGAAGAGTTCCCTGTTGCCGCGGGCACAGACTTGAAGCTCATCGTCTCCCTCGTC